TTCACCACACGTCCAGAGATGCGCAACCTCTGCAGCCATTTCAGTGCCTCGTGGCGAGTGATCGCACTAGAGGAGCCCTCGACTGCTTCATCTGCAAGGGATCTTCCTTATACAGATGGGGAAACTGAGGCCTAGAGAAGAGAAGGGAGTTGCAAAAGTCACAGAGCAGGCACGGCAGGTCAAGTCTCGGATAGGCTCCCAAGCCAGGGCTCCTCACACCTCCTGTGTTCCAGAAAGTTCCACCCCGATTCCACAAATCTCTCAATTGTCCTTGTTCTCCAGGGACACAGTTAACTCCTTTCTTGTATGGGAATACTGGGGTCCAGCACCTGGACACAGGTGTCTATTGTCACTGTATCAGCAGCCACAGGGGCATTGTCTTCATAGCGACACCTCCTTTTCCAAAGGCTGTGGCCAGAGCAGCCCTCAGGTCCAAGCCATGAGCTCCTCCCTGACCCCATAGACCCCATAGCCCTCGCTTTCCTCAACTGCATTTGCGGCTCAGTTGAGCACCTTGCCAGCTGCCAGCTCTCCTGCACTTACGATTTTGGCTAACAAAAAATGAAATAGAGAAGAATGCCTCGTCCCCTCTGTCACCAGGAGCGAGTTGAGCTGGTGGGTAACAGGGCCAGAGAGCTGGTTCACTGCTGATCTCATTTGGGGCTGTCAGCAGAATCACAGCCCCATAACCCAATGAGCCTAATCCAATCCCAGCTCCTGCCAGGCAGCCAAGGTCAGCTCCGGGGCACGCCCTCATCGCCAAGCTGGGGTCCAGAGGGGATGCACGGGCTTGGGGAAACTGGACAGAGTTTGTCTTAAGGCCAGCAGGGCGGGATGGGGAGTAGACAGAGGTGTGGTACAGGGAGCTAAGACAGAAAAGGACATCGAGGAAATAGGAGGACAGATCTCCACCCTTTGAATGATTCCAATCTGATGAGGGAGGCAAGATGGATCCCCAGGAAGCAGACGGAGGAAACTAAGTTATAGAGCAGGCCCTTGACAAGAGTCATCTAAACCTCAGAGTGCCGCCCATCTGTCCCTCCCCCCAGCCATTGCCTGCCCAGCACCGACTGTGTGGGGGCATCCACAGGAGAGTAAAGCCATAGCCCAGTGCGGGTCCTGGGCACCTGCTGTGTGCAGGGCACAGTGTGAGCGCTTTAGCTGCACGAGCCGCGGGACCCTCGGACAGCTGTCGGAGGTCCACACTCCTGTCTCCACCCGACAGATGAGGAAGATTCACCCGGCAGGAGCACAGGGGCTGGGCTCTAGGGAGCGATGTCTGAGTGAGACCTGAAGGGTGACGGGATGCTGGCCAGGTCAAGAGGAATTGGAAAGGGAAGGTATTCAGAGCTGAGGCGACAGCAGAGACAAAGGCCCCGAGGCAGGAAGGATGATAGGAGGAGCCATGGGGAAAGGGAGGCGTGGCCAGCAGTGAAGGGGACAGATGTGCTGCAGAAGCGGGTAGGGGACCTCGAGCTGAGGATGTGGGACTCTGTCCTAAAAGCCAAGGGGGAGAAACCATAGTCCCCATTTCACAGGTGAGGGATGTTGAGACGGATGGAGGTGACACAGCTACAAAGAACCGAGGCAGGACACATACTCTGGAGGTTCCGCTCCTTCTTCCTAAGTCCCCTGGCTCCAGCAAGCTGCCTCTTTCAGATATGAGAAAACCGAACACAGAGACAGACAAACAACAGAGCGGGCATCAGAGTCTCCCGGAGGCTCTGCTGGGCCTGCCCCTACAGGTCCTGAGTCAGTAGGTCTGGGGAGGACGTCCCAACGTCCGTGTTTCTAACAAGCTCTCTGGCTATGCTGATGCTGCTGGTCCAGGGACCACACTTTGGGAACCACTTGGATGGGACATAAACGGAGTCCTTCAGAAAGACAAAGAGGAAATTTAGCTTCCAAACCCAAGTGCCAATCCAGGGAGGCTTCCTGGATCCTAGGGAGGTGACCACAAGGCCAGGAATCTCAGAGCAGTCTGGACTTCCCATATTCTGTCCTG